ACTATAATTGTACTAATTTGACTTTAATTGTACTAATTCGAGTTCGATTTCACTATAATTGTACTAATTTGACTAATTTGACTTCAATTGTACTAACTCGAGTTCGATTTCACTATAATTGTACTAATTTGTCTTTAATTGTACTAATTCGAGTTCGATTTCACTATAATTGTACTAATTTGACTTTAATTGTACTAATTCGAGTTCGATTACACATTATATAAATTATCCAAATACAAAATCATCCAAATACAAAATATTCATCTAAAAAAATCTAGTTCCCCAATCATCGCGGAGTCTAGTTCGATCGATGGGAGGATGCGAATACGGGCAACGGTGTGCGAAATGTAAGGGATCACCACATCTAGTGCATTGATCCCGGCCCCTTCTGCGGCGCGCTCGACGATCCATTTGCATTTTAAAGCGTATAGTTTGGGCGCGACCGGGTCCAGGCTTCGAGATGATCCTCTCCCAATGCGGAATCAAATTCCATCCCACCCGCGGCCACGTGTCAGGATTCCCAATTGGAGTAAATTTCCAATTAGAAAATTGAGCAACCCAATTCTCCGTCGAAAAGTAGGGATTATACAACGACACCGGTTGATCACCCCGGTGACGACACACTCGAATTGCATGAGAGCATGGTTTTCGATGTGTCTGCCACTTCCTACATGTACAACGCTGCTGCTGATAAAAGACCTTAAACCTATTTTCAACAATGATTTATATATATAAATTAGAAAAAAAAATAAACTCATTTGAATGGAAAAAAAATTACAATTACAAAATACATACTTGTTTTGCCCTCTTCCATTGGCGCGTAAACCGGTTGTCACCATGTACTGGGATCCGTCGGCGTCCACACATTGCACCTCGTGAGTCACCGCCGTCTTTTCCAACTCCCGGTAGGCGGCATAGAGGTCAGTAGGAATGAGAGTCCTGCATCCTCTGGACTTTTTATGTTCCTGTTCAAACAAATCCAGAGTCTTGTTCAATGTGGCCTGCACCAACGCTCTGCAGGGCAGGAACCTAACACCTTTGAGGACATTGTTGTAACTCTCTGACATATTCGTTGTCAGAGTGCCCCATCGACGTCCTCCATCTTTGTACAGGGTCCACTTTTCTAGAGCAATTTTGAAAAGGTAATCGTATGCGTCCGGGTTACATTCATGGAGTTCCTGTCGACTCTGCTCAAATTTGCGGCGAGAACACAGTGAACCCAACCTCCAACACAAACCCCGGACTTGTTTATTCCGGTACCTTGAAAACACGTTGCTCCGGAGGTGTCGAAGACATATCCGATGAAATGCATGGGGTTCGTGCCAAGTCTCCAGTAATTCAACGGCACTCAATATGCCGTTGTCCCTGTCGGAAAGAAGACATATCGGTCTGTCGGGGACGACATGATGGCGCAGATGTGTTAGGAAAAAGGACCAGCTAGCCGTGCTTTCTTCGTCCACAATCGCATACGCGACTGGCAATAGACGCTTATTCGCGGTCTGTGCTATGGCAAAAAGCAGCTTCCCCTTGTACGAACCTGCTCAGTTGGACATATGTTTTTATTTTTTTTTTAATCAGACACTATTGTAAATTAGAAAATAAAATATTAATTTGCAATTAACAAGTAGTTTCCCCTTGTACGAACCTCGCAGGTGCGTGCCGTCGATGCTAATAATCGGCGGGCAACGAAGGAAGGTTTGAATGGCGGGGCCGAACGCCCAGAAGACAAATCTGAATTCTCTGTCTCGAGATTGTTTCGCCATTTCTCCACCCTGCCATTCCCACTCAACGACTGTACCGGGATTCGCCCTTTGAAGGGCGGCGAAAAACCTGCAAATTATAAAAGGTAATCATAAATAAATAAATAAATAAATAAATAAATAAATATAGTTACAAACAACACGTAAATACGTTTATAATTAATTTTTGCTTACTGGGGGAGTTGTGCGAAGTTCGATTCCCACGTGCCATGCAGACGATCAATGGCTTTTTTTCTCCCATGCCACGCCTTCTTGTAACTGACATCGACTCCCCAGGCACTTTTTACGTCGTCCTGGACCATTTCCACACTGTAGGTCACCTGCTTCTGAATCTTAACCAATAGAAGATTTGAGATCATGGTGGCGGTCACATTCTTGTGGTCATTTCTCTCGAACACCTGCATGCAAGTGTGGCTATCGGTCCATTCAGTTACCTCCCACATGCCGTGATCCCGTTTGTTAAGACTCACCCGGGCCTTCCATATACATGGTACAACTTCATCTGATCTGCATACAACTTTAAACGACTTCTTGTTGGAATCTTTTGTCCGGACCGCCCTAAGCTTCTCAACATTCCAGGCATTAATACCAATCCGGGCTTCTTCCTTGGTATGAAAAACTGTACCCAATCGGATAGTCTCGACACGCCCATTCCAGGTTGGCAAGGCATACTCGTCCCTGTCTACACACGACGAGTCCCACTCACCCATCTCGCGATAATCTTAGAGGCCTTCATTTGGAAAGGGGTGTTCTTCAATGAATTCTTGTTCGCTCTCCTCATTAATTGATCTGTCCGATTCGGTTTCCGAGGTCTCATCCGTGAAATCGTCTTCACCGGGAATGAAATCTTCATCTCCAACAATTTCTTCCTCAATGTCCGGTCCTCTCATGGTAAAGCTCGTTCCTTCGCCGAAATTACTCGTCCCTTCGCCGAAATTACTCGTCCCTTCACCAAAATTACCGGCATGCGTAGTCCACGTATCCTCACCACCAAACATTCCCTCGTAACCATATGATGGCGTAGGATCCTCAACCTGTGTAACCTGTGTGTTTGCTTCCAACACTATATGAAAAAACACATAGGACATAGGAGCAGAGTAGTATATCCACGAAAGAGAATTATCATTATGCAGTCTTCCGGTGATAAACGAACCATCCTGTTGTCTCGCCATCAAAGTAATATCCAAAATTGTCCAACTATCACGAAACCCACCATTTTCATAAATCATATCTACCAATTGTTGATATGATATTATTCCATTAATAACAAATGAACAATCCGGACGAGACATATAATTCGAAAAATTCCATAACTCACTCTGGGGAATTTTCCAGTACACATTAACAAAGTATGGACCGTTAGACGACATTTATAACCTGTTGCACAAAAAAAAATTATATTTTACAAATTACAACAACATAAAAAAAAATCAAACACCACGAGAAAATTTCAATTATTATTTTACCAATCTACATTTAAAAATTCAATTATTTTACCAATCTACATTTAAAAATTTAATTATTTTACCAATCTACATTTAAAATGGCTAATCAAACACCCGAGAAAATTTCAATTATTATTTTACCAATCTACATTTAAAACTCATTTTCAACAACAACATATAATTAATTATATTTTACTCGAACAAAAAAAAATTGTCAATTAGTTTATAAAAAACACCACAAAAACCCTAATCACCAATCTACATTTAAAATTGCTAATCAAACACCCGAGAAAAATTTCAATTATTATTTTACCAATCTACATTTAAAACACATATCCAACAACAACATATAATTAATCATATTTTTACTCCAACAAAAAAAAATAAAATTGTCAATTAATTTAGTATATTGCCACAACAAAAACCCTGATCACCATAATCCAACAATAACATCAAATTCATAAAAAATTTGGATAAATATTCAATTAACCAAATTCATAAACATATATTAAACAACATTCAAGATTTTCTAAACAATACTCAATTAACCAAATATATCTCTTAAACATTCATAAACAACCAAAAATTAATATTACATTATATTAAAATAACAACTAACCTCTTCTTCGACGATTGGTTGAAAATTTGTTTTTTTCCCGGGAACAGTTTCAATTCGCCAAAAAATCGAGCAAAAAACGAGAGGAGAAATGAAATGGGAATTTTTTTTTTTTTTTTTAAAATCCGTTTTACTCGTTTTTAAATGAAAAACGGATTTTGAAAATCCGTTTTAGTCAGTGGATGTATTATTATTATTAAATTCGACCGTTATCTTATAAAAAAAAAAAAAAAAATCAAAAGTAAAAACGGATTGTGGGAATCCGTTTTCAATTAAAAATTTAATTAAAAAAACGGATTCTGAAAATCCGGCTGTTTTATACATTTCCACAATTTTTTTTATTTTTTTATTTTTTTCCACATATTTTTGTTTTTTTTAAATAAATAATGCACCCTACTGTTTTCGTTTGTGTTTTCTTTATTTCAATGTTTTAAGGCTGTATAGGAAAAAAAAATTTCTATCTGTGTCTCTGCACAACAAGATGTGATCTCATTATAGTTGAAATTAAATATATATATTTGATTTACAATGCTATTCATCTGAAACATTTTTTTTTTCTTATAAATCTCATTAAAATAATCATAAAGTAATAATATAATCATTATTATATTTTTTCCAACAAAAAAATTATTCATTCTTTTACATATATCTAGCTATCACTATTATCATTTTCTTATATTTATATCTCATAAGCTTTAATCATTATATCTTTTTATCTCATATATATTTATAATTAGTAAATTTATTCATTTTCTTTCATAAATTACTATTTTCACCTCTGTTATTTCACCCTTTTAGAAGAGATAATTTTATTGGCAAAAAGTTATATACAATCACACCCTAAGGGGATATATGGAGATTTTGGGCTCATTAGATTTACACTAAAAAAATTAGATATATTTTATAAAAAAATATATTCATCACTATTTCATTTATCCATTCATATAGTTCTTAATATTATTCTTTATGTTATTCATCTACACCAACTTAGTTGTAATCTTGAAATTATTATTTTACATCAACCACCTTTCCAAAATGTTCCCAAGATATTTTTCAAATAGTGAGTGGAATATATGCTACATTGAAGGCCTTAAAATATATACTTTATCTGAATTGTTCACCATGGCCATATTAAATCCGGTCCACCAACCAAAATCTTCATCTCATAACTACACTTACCATATGCATACTCAATATGTATGGTGTAGTCATCTAAACCGGCGGACATTTAAAAGTGTTCCCGGTGAAAATTTGAGCCACCACAAGGATACTCTACATATAAGAAAATCTCATTTTCACTTAATTTATGGGCACTTTTGGTAATTTGGCAAAAATTGACTCTTTGATTAATTCATTTATTTTGACATTCTAAAGTTTGGTATTCTCAACTTCATAACCAGGAAATCTAATTCTTTTACATGACTGCATCCTATGCATACTTAACAGATTTATTTCCTTAATATTACTATAAATTAAATCAGATCAAATGGGTTTTATTAATAATGATGAATAGATCTTGAAGTAGTAGAGATGACCGAAAAAATTAATATTTTTCATATAAAGAAAGAAGATGTGATATATACGGGGAGGAGGTTAGGTTTGATATTTGTCTAACCAGAAGGAGACATATTTCATGTGGTAAATTATTTTCCTACGATAATTTGTAAAGACAAATGAACAATTGACAACATGATTTTTCATCGTTTTATTTATATAATGCACAACATCTTACCTTCATATGCCATAATGTGAGGGTTGTGGTTAAGTATTTGTGGAGTTTGTGGCTACATTACAGCCACCTCTTTTTTATCTTTGTCTCTCCTATGATAAGTTTAAAATTTCATGTAACCGTAACCAAGGGAATTTTTTGATTCTTAGCGGATAATTGATTTTTTTTTTTTTAATTATTATTATTACCCTTTTTGCAAGCGTTTGAATATCTCTCTGTTGTAAGTAGTGTGTAATTGTTCCAAATTCCATCTTCAAAGGAACAGCATTAATTTGCTGAAAAGGATTATGAAGATAAACAATACAGTTTTTTTTTTTTATATGATTGTTAAATATTGGTTTATATCGTTTTCCACAAGATTTTTTTGTTAGAAAAATAAAATAAATTAAAATAAATTTTTTTATTCATTTACATGTAAACTAATTAAGTTCCAAGTTTTTATTATTATTATTATTAATGTATGATATATATTATAGTATGCATTATGGAGTCATCATCCTTTAGACTCCGACGTTGACCGTTGACTTTCGACGTTGGCTTCCTGCGAAATCTGTTGACTTCTGGTGTTGACCGTTGACTTCCGACGTTGACCCTTGGCAACCAACCTTCCAACTAGGTTAGTTGTCTGTAGTTGCTAGATTAATTCTCTGTAGTGCTAGGTTAGTTCTCTGTAGTTGCTAGGTTAGTTTCTGTAGTTGATAGGTTAGTTGTCTGTAGTTGCTAGGTTAGTTCTCTATAGTTGCTAAGTTAGTTTTTTTGTAGTTGCTCGGTTAGTTCTCTGTAGTTGCTAGGTTACTAGTTGCTAGGTTCGTTCTCTGTAGTTGCTAGGTTAGTTCTCTGTAGTTGCTAAGTTAGTTCTCTGTAATTGCTAAGTTAGTAGTTGTAGGTTAGTTGTCTGTAGTTGTTAGGTTAATTCTCTGTAGTTGCTAGGTTAGTTCTCTGTAGTTGCTAAGAGTTGTCCGCATTTTAAGAGCTGAGCGCATTTTAAGAGCTGGCCGCATTTGATCCGCCCCTCTATATATATATATATGTGTGTGTGTGTGTGTGTGTGTGTTTGTGTGTAAGCAGATCAAATGCATGTGCACTTACCATATATGCCACATGCATTAATAAGTTTCATTTCTACCATAATTAATTTTTCTCTTTTGTATGACAGTGAATGCGTTAAGGACTATAAAAGGATGAGTTTCTCATACATAAATGATCCTAGACGTTTTGGAAAGATATAACGAGGATTTGGAAAAAATTGATGCAATATTTAATAGATTTAGAAGATTGACTATTTTAAAAAAGTCGTGTTTCTGCACGATTTTTGAAACACAATTCTTACGATCTCTAAATCACATACACGAATTCTACTTGAATGAAACTTACTCTTAAATGAAGGATTACACGCCAAAGGGAAGAAATAAGGAACTGATCGTGCCCAAGTCTTGAGAAAGATAATAAGGAATGAAACCGACCTCACATGGAAATGAATCAATGCACGAGAAAGAGAAGACTCCTTACATGTTGAGGAAGATAATAACAAAGGATATCGATCTCACATGGAAATGAATCAATGCATGAGAATGAGAAGACTCCTTACCTGTGAGGAGTTTGTATATGCGTGATCGAAGACTCATTGAGAGGTTGCTGCAATTATCGTTCATCAACATTCAAGACTTTCACTGAGTGTTCGAGATATTTTTAGTTTCTTCTGTTTACTGTGATTCAGCGATGTATTCTTATATCGGTGATGAACTTATTTTGTTCTTTGTTCACACACACGTTGAGTGCTTAGAGATTAAATACTTTTGTAGCTGGGAGAGGTTCATAGCTATTTCGAATTCCACATGTTGTGACCACGGAAGTAATCAATAGAATGTGGTATAATGTTGGTTAGACTAGAAGGGAGTTCGAGTTTTGTAAGTCCAAGCTATACTTTGTGCTCACAAAACAATTTATTAATAATAAAGCTCTGATGAGTGGTGGTACGTTTCCCAAAGACGTTTTTATTTATACGTTGCTTCCGCTTTTAATTTTAGTGTTAAAATACACATTAGGTACTATATTAACTCCCCCACAATGTTTCAATAATTATTACATGCTTGGATCTGAAAAGGCGGTATCCACACGAAGTTGTAAACATGCAATTTGAATCGACCAGTAATGCTAATTAAGGAGCCAACTGTTGGTTCCGTTATGGAGCCAACATCCAATGGGATAGCTCCATGTGGGGCTATCCCACATTGGAGTCATGTGGGACAGCCCCACATGGAGCTGTCCCATTGGCTGTTGGTTCCATAACGGAGCCAACAGTTGGCTCCTTAGCATTATTGTTGAATCGACACTTGATATATGCTATCAAGACATGAATATTTTGTTTTGATTTATGTGGCTAAAATTGTTGTTTTTTAGCGGTGTTCATATAAGGTAATGTGCCCCACTCTTTATTACAGCAGAGCACTTATTGCCGATGATTGTAGCTTTAGACTTCTCATAAAATGTATTCTTAGGCCAAAAAGTTGATTAGTTAATTCAATGATAATTAGGAATAGACTAGATTTCTAGTGTAATTTTATGTTAAGTAAAATGCGAATTTATATGAAAAGTGTTGAATAGTCTATATACGTACGGCTACTTTAGAGTCGTTCTTTAGGAGATGACTCCCATAAAAGAGAAATGCAGTGTTAACATTGATTTGATTTACATTTGCAGCTAATTAGTTAATATAAAATGAGGCACACATTATAATAATAACAATTTCCCTCCTCAATTAGACATGACACATGAGCAAATGGATGAAAATTAGTGCAAAATCAATGTACCAATAGTAACTAATAGCTGTTTATTATTAGTTGGACAATCCATGGTATAGAAATAATATGGGAAAGAGTCTTCTTTGTCCTAGTTCATGAACGCAAATATTCTCTACTAATTTACTCAGTTTTTGGGTAAAATATATAAGACCCCCTTGTATTATACGAAATCTGCGCGTTTCCCTCCTGTATTTTAAAAATTACGTCAGACCCCTTTCTTTTGGGTGTTTTGCGCATACAAAACTTTAATAGAAGTGGATCTGACGCAATTTTTAAAATAAAGGGGGGAAACGCACAGATTTCGTATAATACAGGAGGGTTTGGTGCATTAAACCCCTCAATTTTTTACTGGCACCAATATAGGGTGGTTGATCCATGAACAATAGGTACGGAACATAATTCAATAATAGCATTAACTCAAAAAAAGTATATCTGTATTCATAAAAGTATATGTCATCGTTGTATAAGAAAAGGTATATCATCAGAAATTAGATTAATGAACCTGAACTATTAGTATGTTTTTATCGTGCATGTTTTCAATTGCTGCAGTGTACCTATTTTCAGCAATATTATTGCATATTTTTACACCTCTGTAACATATGTAATTCAAGTAAAAGGATACGACTTGAAAGATGGAATCATGGAAGATAGAAGCGAGAGCAAATAATAATAATATTGGTGAACATTGGACATGACTTTATATTGCGCTAGACTTTGAAGAGAATCATTATAATTCACTAACCACATGCACTAGCGAACTACAGTTTTACAAAGTGTACAACATATAGTGTCTAGGCCCAACTAATTAGCGAATTGTGATCGTCCACAATTTTGGCCCAGAAAATGAATTATTAGTAGGACGATAATAATGTACATGTATGGAATTGCATATATAAAAAGGAGCTTAAAATAAAGATTAGTTCACTATAAAATAATAACTTTATGTAACTCAATAAAGTGTATTTAATTCTTGAAATGTTTTACTATATAATCATAGGTTAAGGATACATGATACTACAATTTCTTTTGCTACCTATTGTCATATCTAACGTTATCATATAATTTGTATTGTGGCAAAATTTTATTTTTTGGTCCATTATATTGGTCATTTTTCAGAAAAGATTCAATATTTTGGCAAATATCAAACTTAGCAAACAAGTTGAAAAGTTTACCATATTTGGTCCAATAAGCAAGCGATCCAGATAAGCTGTCTACGTGTCATGATTGGTATTTTTCACGTCATTTTTTCAGCCAAATTAATTTCCAGGTGGCATTAACTGCGCGAATGCCATTCCAGGCAAAAGTTCATTTTTGGTCCATTATATTGGCCATTTTTCAGGAAAGATCCACCACATTTGGTCCAATAATTAGGCGATCCGAATAATTTGCCTACGTATCATGATTGGTATTTGTCTTCTTCATTTTTCAAGCCAAATTAATTTCGTGGGCTGATTGGTCAAAAAAAGTGTGTATTTTATAAAATTTGACCGCACGACGCAATGCGGCAAAATTATAATTTATATTTTTCCTTAACTGACTTCTACCAACTAGTAGTAGTAGTAAGTAAGGGTCGATCCCATGAGTAGTGTGAATCAAATTGTGAATTTTATCGTATTAATTGAAATAAATGAAGAGAACTAGAGTTCACAGTTCCGTCTACACCCTCGACCGACTCGTCTAATCAACTTTGGTATCAAA